AGAGTCAGCTATTTCCGGGGTACCTAAGGCACACAGTTCTTAGGTGACAGGACCCTGTCATAAAATGAGCTGGTCACCTTGTTAGATTTTCTGAGTCCTTCACTAGTGGATTTTAGAAAACAGATGCTAAATGTTTAACAAAATCCACATACAGTTTATTAAGGCTTTTCTACAGTTACCCAATCTACACAATATGCCAGTAGGAAAAAGCATTTCAAAGTAAACAAGGATGAATTAACACAGATTAAAATTGTATTTCTTAATATCAAATAATGCCATGTAGACTTAGGTGACCAGATGACTGACTGGAGACGGCCAGACAGGAGAAGATAGCAGAGAGGGTCCTGTCCAGAGACGGAGGAAAACCATATTGTAATTTTGGAATCACTGACTGTTTTAATCATCGGATAGCTTGCTCTTTTCCTGGTGGAGAAAGTAAAAAGTATGAAGCAGCCTCAATCCAGAGTGTCTGAGAAATAGAACTACCCATGGTACTTGGAAACTTGACCTTGTCAACTCCGAAAGTGCTGCTTGCCCAAAAACCATGATAAATGATTAGTTTTTTAAAAATTTTCACTTGACCTACTATTCAACTATTCTTCATATATTTTATGATTTCTAAAGAATTTTTTATTGTGGTAAAATATACATTTACCATTTTCACCACTTTTAATTGTACAACTCACTGGCATTAAGCACTTTCATGACATTGTTTAACCATCACAGTTATCTATTTCCAGAACTTGATTTCCGATTTTTCGAGCTTCTCCAAGATGCAGTATGTATTCCCAAAGAGAGAATGCATGATTTTGCTGGGATCAATAATCAATTGTTGGTTTGCTTTCTTCTGGCTGGGCATGCAGACTATTACAGAGACCAGCTCTTGTTAGGAATGCCTATATCTGTCAGCATATTGTACTTCACCCTTTTTTGAACTTGGCTTTTATTCTAGGATGATGGTAAACCAGGGAAAAGCAACAAAAATCTATAAATGCTCTAAAAGATTTTCAACAGGACTATATGGCTGGCATGGGAGCTGTGGGGACTTTATTATGTTCGTATTTGGAAAAAGTCGTTTAAGCCCTGAAATGATTAGATGTGACTGTGTGGGTTAATTATGTAGGAGAAGAGAGAGTTTCATTTGAAACTTCTGCAATTCAAATTGTGTATAAATATCATTTAAAATGAAGATCCAAATCATCCTAGAGAAAAACTCACTGGCCATCAGAGAAATGCAAATCAAAACCACAATGAGATACCATCTCACACATGTTAGAATGGCAATCATTAAAAAGTCAGGAAACAACAGGTGCTGGAGAGGATGTGGAGAAATAGGAATAACTTTTACACTGTTGGTGGGACTGTAAACTAGTTCAAACATTGTGGAAGACTGTGTGACGGTTCCTCAAGGATCTAGAAAAAGAAATACCATTTGACCCAGCCATCCCATTACTGGCTATATACCCAAAGGATTATAAATCATGCTGCTATAAAGACACATGCACACATATGTTTATTGTGGCACTATCCACAATAGCAAAGACTTGAAACCAACCCAAACATCCATCAGTGATAGACTGGATTAAGAAAATGTGGCACATATGCACCATGGAATACTATGCAGCCATAAAAAAGGATGAGCTCATGTTCTTTGTAGGGACATGGATGAAACTGGAAACCATCATTCTGAGCAAACTATCGCAAGAACAAAAACAAACACTGCATGTTCTCACTCATAGGTGGGAATTGAACAAAGAACACTTGGACACAGGGTGGGGAACATCACACACTGGGGCCTGTCATGGGGTGGGGGGAGGGGGAGGGATAGCATTAGGAGAAATGCCTAATGTAAATGACAAGTTAACGGGTACAGCACACCAACATGGCACATGTATACATATGTAACAAACCTGCACATTGTGCACATGTACCCTAGAACTTAAAGTATTTAAAAAAAAATGTGGTAAAGCTTTAGGCTATTCCAGTTACCATTGCAAACATGAAAGAACTCATAGTGGAGAAAAACTATAAATGTAAGAAATATGGGAAAATATTTAATTTTCCCAGTTTTCTTCAAAGATATGAAAGCAATCAAACTGGAGAAAGAAAACGTATAACTGTAAGAAACATGATTTGAAAAAGTAAAAGGACTCACACTGAAGAAAAGCCTTATGAGTATAAGAAATGTGATCAGGCATTAAGTTCTTTTGTTTGTTTTTGTTTTTTTTGAGACGGAGTCTTTGTTTGTTTGTTTTTGTGTTTTTTGAGACGGAGTCTCGCTCTCTCACCCAGGCTGGAGTGCAGTGGTGCAATCTCAGCTCGCTGCAACCCCTGCTTCCTGGGTTCAAGCAATTCTCCTGTCTCAGCCTCCTGAGTAGCTGGGACTACAGGTGCCCACCACCACGCCTGGATAATTTTTATATTTTTCGTAAAGATGGAGTTTCACCACATTGGTCAGTCTGGTCTCAAACTTCTGACCTCAGGTAATCCACCCACCTCCCAAAGTGCTGGGATTACAGGCGTGAGCCACCGTGCCTGGCCCATTTAGTTCTTTTAGTTGCATTTGCTGACTTAAAATATCTCATTCTGGAGAGAAGATCTATGAATGTATGAGATGTGGGAATGCCTTTGTTTTTCCCATATCCTTTCATAGACGCATGATCATGCACACGAGATGGACCCGATAAACAGGAGAATCACACCTGACTGGATCCCGAGTAGTGTGGAAAATATAGAAAAGTCGTCAATTTTAACAATTACTTTCAAAGTCATGTGAAAACTCCTACTGGAATGAAATCTTGTAAATGTAAGTAATCTTGTAAATGTAAATGTAAGAAAGCCTGTTGCAAATTCATTATTGTATAATGCTTGAAAAAAATTACAACATGAAATAAATGTTATATGACATATATATATTGTGTTTATCAGTGGCTCATTATTAAAGAAGGTCTCTGGACTATAGATTTCCACTGTTTTTGCAATAAAAGATTGAGATGAAAATTCTGTAGCTAACTTTTAAGTGATAATTGTTTAATTAATCTATTATTAATAGGCTCTTGAAAAATGAGTCTTTGTTAATTGTTGAAATTTTTCTTACTTTATGGGGCAGGTTTTGGATAGCCTCACCCATTGTATATGTTCCAATTTTTTTTTCTTTTTTTTTGAAATGGAGTCTTGCTCTGTCACCCAAGCTGGAGGGCAGTGGTGCAACCTCAGCTCACTGCAAGCTCCGCCACCCAGGTTCAATTGATCCTCCTGCCTCAGCCTCCCAAGTAGCTGGGACTACAGGTATGTGCCACCATGCCCAGATACTTTTTTTTTTTTTTTCCAGTAGAGATGAGGTTTCGCCATGATGGCCAGGCTGGTCTCAGACTTCTGACCTCGGGTAATCCCTCTGCCTTGGCCTCCCAAAGTGCTGGGATTACAGGTGTGAGTCACTGTGCCTGGCCTATATTCCAACTTTCTATTATTACGGAAAAAACTTATCTTTTTTTATTATAAAAAGAGTATTTTTAATAAAGAGTTGATGTCAATTTGTAAAATAGTAAAAAAATCAAAATAAAATGAAAATCACGTAAAATGACATGTCAGAAAATGCGTGCGTTGAACGAAATCAACAAAACACAGACCTTAGTAACGTTAGGATTTTAATCTTCATGAAGCTCAAGATGTTCAGCTCTAACAACTTTGGTGCTTACAGAACATTTATATCTTCTAATTGTCCCATGTGAATATCCCACATAGACTCCCATGAGCCATGACCCAACTCCAGGTGGCAACGAAGGTTTGTTGAAGTCCCATTTGGAGCATTTATGGTCTATTCCGGGCCCCTACTCTTCTATTCTGAAAGCATGGGTGCAAAAGGCTCAGAATTTAAAGGTTTAATTATAAATGTCCGTTAAAGAGAAAAATGGAAAGGGGACTACTGGTTTAATGTAACAATTTATTTTATGAGTCAAATAGTGCTATCTATCATTAATTATATGCGATGCAAATATGGCCAAACATTAGCATTTGTTAAATCATCATGGCTACCATATGGGTATTGTTTTTATTATTCTCTCTACTTTCTGGACCTACCATTACAAAAATGAATAAATGTAATTTGTAGACTTGACAAAGCAGAGGACATTTTCCTCCTGGGGTAAGCAAGGAAAATTTCAACATTATATTATTTTTGGAATAATAATAACTGGACTTCCTACTCCTAAGCAGTCTTACCTGCACATCTTTTGAAATAGACTTAATTGCTGCCTAGAGCTCATAGAACGATCTCACAGCACTGCTCCAGGGCACTGAAGCTTACAGTGAAAGCATATTTTCAGCAAGTACTGAAGATTGTCTCCATGTTGGCTGGTTTGAAACTGTGGTGAGTGAATTCAGAAAATAAATTGTGTTGATTCTTTAGAGTTTTGAGGCTTTGAACAAAATAATGAATAACCCGTAGTAATTAACATGCTTGTTTGTTTTTAGATCTTTTGAATGTAATCAAGGAAAGGAATGGAAAGGAAAGAAGTGCCCAGAAGCATTTTGGCACTCACCAAAGCCAGGGGACAATAAATAACACAGTGGGGATAGATGGCTAAGTGGGTCCTATTTATGTGTTTTTCCTCGACACTAGAAACCATGCTTTAATTCAAAGCATTGTTTTCTCTTCAGGTGTCTCCAGTCAGCATCACATAGCTTTACTAAATGTTTTGATAATGCTAGAGTTATTTCAGCATACCAAGTGTCTTTGAGTAGTGCCTTAAGGAAATAAAGCTAAGAAAAAGAAGAGGGCAGACAGAGGGCATTTGACCACAAAGACTCAGAATTTCATTGGCTTGTAGAAGAATCCTTCTGGGAAATGGAATAGTTTATAGCAGAGATTCCGAGGCACATGTGTTCTTAAGAACAAAGGGGCCTTTGGGATGCTACATCAGTGAGGATGCTTTTAGCTGCAAGTAACCACAGATCCAACTCAAGATTGGTTAAGCCAAGAGGAGATTTATTATCTTGTGTAACAAACGCTTAAGTAGCCGTGCTCTACCCAAGGCACACCAGGCTGCTGGTTCTGCTTCTCTGTGGCTTCTGGATTTGTCCTCTTCTCTTTGTGGGCTTCATCCTGCAGCAGCTCTGAGCATCACATCCATTCACATCAGTCTTGTGGTCTGTTTGGCCCCAGCCTTGTCTGGACATGTGTATGTTCATTAGGGAGTTCTGACTCTTCTCAATGAGTAGGTGCTGGAACCAGCTGCCAGTGAGGAGAGCAGAGGCTGAAAAGACTGAGAGGTACTACAAAAGTAAGAAAGGAATGTATAATTGTGAACAGGTCAACCCTAGCTCTTGAGGAGGACGTGCCTACCTTCAGTCACCTTTTTCTGATATCTGGGATAAAACAACCAGCAAATCAAGTGAGAGCAATACTACACTCCATAGATTACTGCTGGCATAACCCCTTAAGAGAAAACAAATCTTAAGTGATCTTAAATGAAAGAGGTTACTGTAAGCAGAGATGCATGTTTTCAAAGTTAAGGCAAGAGCGATAACATTATTGCCTTATATTTGTTTTTGTTTAGTTCGTTGGTTTTATTTTTTCCTTGAGACAAGGTCTCGCTCTGTTGCCCAGGCTAGAGTGCAGTGGAACCATCTTGGCTCACTGCAGCCTTGACTTTCTGGGCTAAAGCAATCCCCCTGCCTCAGCGCCCCAAGTAGCTGGGACCACAGTGGGGTCTTGCCATGTTGCCCAGGCTGGTCTTGAACTCCTGGCCTCAGGCAATCCAAGTGCTGGGATTATAGGTGTGGGCCACTGTGCCCAGCCTTTTTATTTTTATTTCTTAAGAGATGGGGTCTCTCACTCCGTTGCCCAGACTGGAGTGCAGTAGCACAATTATAGATCACTGCAGTCTCCAACTTCTGGAGACTGCAGTCCTCATGGGATCCTCATGGGATTCTCATGGGATTCCCCCACTTCAACCTCCTCAGTAGCTGGTATTACAGGCGCATGCCATCATGCCTTACCTTTATATTTGTTAATATAAGCATCATGACAGCAGGATTTTTTTTTCTTATTCACTACTGGATCTGCAGTGATTAGACCAATGAATAACACACAGTACTTTCTCAACAAATATCTGTCAAATGAATGAGTAATGGTGGGGGCAGTTAAAAATAGTTTTAAAAGACCCGGAAAGAGACAGAGAGAAAGAGAGAGAGTGTTAGAGAGACCTGGGTTCCAATACCAACTATATCATTTACTAGCTGTAGAATCCTTTTTTTTTTTTTTTTTGAGACAGGGTCTCATCTGTTACCCAGGCTGGAGTGCAGTGGCGTGATCTCAGCTCATTGCGAACTCGACCTCCCAGGCTCAGGTGAGTCTCCCACCTCAGCCTCCCGAGAAGCTGGGACTACAGTCAGGCACCACTATGCTTGGCTAATTTTCTGTATTTATTTATTTATTTTTTTGTAGAGATGGGGTTTTGCCATGTTGCCCAAGCTGATCCTGAACTCCTTGGCTAAAGTGATCGACCTGCCTCAGCCTCCCAAATTGTTGGGATTACAGGCATGAGCCACCATGCCCAACCTGTAGAATCCTTTTTGTGCCTCAATTTCCCCTTCTATAAAATGTGCATAATAGAAACCTGCTTCATCAAGTTGTTGTGAGAATTAAATGAATCAATACATGTAAAGTGCTTAGAACAGTGCCAGGCCCATAGTAAGCCCTCAGGAATTGTTAACTATTCATTATCATTATCATTACTACCACTTACTAAGTTTTTGACTTCTATAAGCCTCAGTTTCCTCACTTGTAAAATGGGAATAATAAAATGTACCTCATTTTGAGGATGAAATGAGACATGCTTTATTCTTTCCTCACAACCTCAGGTACAGGATTAGGAACAACTTGGACAAAGGTCACTATAATTCCTTATCTATTCTCAATGCTTTTTATTTACAAAGTTATTTTTATTCCCATAATATATTTGATTCCCACAAAAACTTAATAAGAGAACAGTTCAACCATATGCCCCTTTTACAGGTGGAGAAACTGATGCACGGAGCAGCTGAATGCCTGTTAAGACTCACTTTATAGACAGCTAGTAGAGCCAGAAGTCAACACAGCAGCCATTCGATGCTTCTCATTGCAGATCTTCCACATTCTAACACAATTTTTAAGCAGAGATTTCACAGCTGGAGAGTGACTTTATTGAGCAAATGTACAATATTGGCTCAGAAATGGAGGACTTATAAAGACTATTTCTAGGTGGGATGATGTAGGGGAAAGAAGAAGGAAGTGACCAGGACAGGAAATAACATTTCACAAGAAGTGCTCTTAAGGGAAGAAGGTTAGAATGATCCATGTGGTACTGGATTAGAGTTAGAGACATCAGAATGAACTTATGAATTTAGTTTAATATAGCTACAGATGGTTGCAAATAGATAGTTGCAGATATGTATCGATTCACAGATTAGTATGTATAGATACATATATTTTATTGCTCTGTCAGCTAAAAGGGCCTAGAAACCACAACACCCCAGTAGTAATGAGCACCTCCAGCACCCAGATCTTGGTTTCTAATACCATTCTCCAGTAAAAGAAACCAGGAATCACTGGAGAAATGGCTGATTCTAGGGCTGCACTAATAACACACAAAAGGAGACTGTAGTGCCAGAAAGTAAGGAAATGCTGGGGAAAAAAAGATAGGGGTATGTCAAAGGGATGCAAGAGCCAACTGAAAAGGTTCCGAATGGCCAAAGCTTGAACAATTTGAGCAATAAAGTAAATAATGTAGCACTGGCTGATTACCCAAAGTATAAAATAAATGTTAGTCCACCTAACAGAAATACATGATTGTATAAATAAATAAATGGGGGAGAAGAGATAAATCTCCCTTGCAGAAGAATTCCAAATAATTTATGTAGATACTCCCCCATCAAGGAGGTGAAAGATATTTTTACCCCTTAAGTGGAGGCTGCATATAATGACTTCTTTCCAAAGAGTCCAAGATGGAAAGAAGGGATAAAAGAGTAATTTTACAGTGGAGAAGTCTGATAAACACTACCTCAATCAGAAGATAAAGTTAATATCAATAGTGATAAGTCAACTTGACAGTAGGTACCCTTCAGGTGATGCCATGAGAATGGTACTTTATCTCGGTGATCTTCCTTCCAAAAACGCATAATCCCTACCTCTCCATGAGAAAAACATCAGACAAACTCAAAGTGAAGAATATTCTACAAAATACCTGACACCTGACCAGTATTTCTCAAAACTATTAAGGTCATCAAAAATAAGGAAATTCTGAGAAATTGTCACAGTCAAGAGGAGCTTAAGTAGACATGACAACTAAATGTAACATTGTATCCTGGATGAGATCCTGGGGCAGAACAGAGATGCTTGGTTAAAACTAAAGAAATTTGAATTAACTAAGGATGTAATTAAGAACGCATCAGTATTTTTTAGTTTTGATAAATATGCCATATGAATGTGAGATGTTAATACGAGAAACCAAGAATGGAATATTCAGCAACTTTCTGTACTGTATTTTCTTTTCTGTAAATCTAAAACTATTCTAAAATTTAAAGTTTGTCAAAAATTAATCAGGCTACTAGGACAGCAACAACAACAAAAAAGACATGGAAAACAAAACGCAGATGGGATAATAGAAAACAAACAGCAAGATGATGAATGTATACTCAACCATATAAATATATTCATTGTAAGTGGTTTAAACACTGCAATTAAAAGCAGACATTGTCAGAAAATTTTAAAAATACAATATCCAGGCTGGGTGTGGTGGCTCATGCCTGTAATCCCAGCACTTTGGGAGGCCAAGGAGGGCAGAATACTTGAGGTCAGGAGTTTGAGACCAGCCTGGCAAACATGGTGAAACCCCGTCTCTACTAAAAATACAAAAATTAGCTGGGCATGGTAGGACATGCACCTGTAATCTTAGCTACCCAGGAGGCTGAAGCAGGAGAATCTCTTGAACCTGGGAGGTGGAGGCTGCAGTGAGCCAAGATCGCACTATTGCACTCTAGCCTGGGCAACAGAGCAAGACTCCATCTAAAAAAAAAAAAAAAAAGCAGTATCCAATATTCAGTGTATGCTGTCTAACAAGAAACCACTTTAAATATAAAGATATAGATAGATTAAAATAAAAGATGGAGACACATATACCAATCAAGCAATAATCAAGAGAAAGCTGGAGTAGATACAAAGTAGAGTTCATAACAAGGAATATGATCATAGATAAAGGGGGCATTTCATAATAATAAAGGTATTATTTCATTAAGAAGACATAACAATCCTAATGTGCATGTACTTAATAACAGCTTTGAAATATACAAAACAAAAACTGATAGAACAGAAAGGAGAATAGAGTAAGAGTTTTCATTGATTTCAATACTCTTCTCTCAGTAATGATAGAACAAGTAGAAAAGAGAAAATAATACAAAATAAGTGAAGATAAAGACTCGAACAAATTCCTCCCCAAAACATCAGAATAAATTACGTCTTTTACGTAGCATATAGATGGCTGTCACTTTTTAATCCAGTCTAAAAATCTATACTTTTTAATTTCAGTGTTTAATCTCTTACATGTGATTGATGTAATTTCTGATGGTGTGAGTTTATGAATCAGGTTGCTTTGTTTTCCATGTGTTCTTTATTTCTTTGTTCCTTCTTGATTGCCTTCTCTTAGATTATTTTCATATTCTTTTTATCTTCTTTATTGCTTCTTACCTTTGTCTCTTTGGTTTTTTAAAAATAATGATGGCTTTAGTGATTTCAATATGCAACCTTAATTTATCATTGTCTACATTGAATAAATATTACAGCACTTCACGGACAGAATAATGACTTAAAACACTATGATTCCATTTACAGCCTTTATCCCTTTGTGCTATTTTGTTATGTGTTTGACTTCTACATATGTTATAAACCCCACAACACTTGCTATTATTTTTATCTAAACACTCAAACATCTTTTCCAAATTAAAAAAATAAAAACTAGTTTTTTATATTTACCCATATATTTACCTTTTTTAGTGCTTTTCATTCCTTCCTGTAGATTCCATCTGAAATCTGGCTTCCATCTGTGATAACTTCCCTTTAGCTGAAAAAACCTCTAGAGATTTTAGTGATATAAACATATAAACAAAATGGCCTATTTCTTATACTTTGGGTCTGTTGGTAACACATTCTCTGAGCTTTGTTTTTTTTTTTTTTCCATTAAAAGTGTCTTTATTTTCCCCTCATTCTGAAGTTTATTTTCACAGGATGTAGAATTCTAGGTTGACAATTGTTTTTTATATATATATATATATTTTTTTTTCTTTTCTTTTTTTTTTTTTTGAGACGGAGTCTCGCTCTGTTGCCCAGGCTGGAGTGCAGTGGTGCAATCTTGGCTCACTGCAAGCTCCACCTCCCAGGTTCACGCCATTCTCCTGCCTCAGCCTCCCGTGTAGCTGGGAGTACAGGCGCCTGCCACCACGCCCGGCTAAATTTTTTTTGTATTTTTAGTAGAGACGGGGTTTCACAGTGTTAGCCAGCATGGTCTCGATCTCCTGACCTCGTGATCCGCCCGTTTCAGCCTCCCAAAGTGCTGGGATTACAGGCGTGAGCCACCGTGCCTGGCAACAATTGTTATATATTTTTAAAACACTTGGCCAGGCACGGTGGCTCACGCCTGTAATCCTAGCATTTTGGGAGGCCGAGGCAGATGGATTGCCTGAGCTCAAGAGATGGAGACCAGCCTGGGCAACATGGTGACAACCCATCTCTACTAAAATACAAAAAAAAAAAAAAAAATTAACTGGCATGGTGGTGTGTGCCTGTAGTCTCAGCTACACGGGAGGCTGAGGCAGGAGAATTGCCTGAACCCAGGAGTCAGAGGTTGCAGTGTCCGAGACTGTGCCACTGTACTCCAGCCTGGCAACGGAGTGAGACTCTATCTCAAAAAATAAAATAAAAACAAAAAAAACCCACTTCAATGATATGATTCCACTATCTTCTGGATTCTATTATTTCTGATGAAAAGTCAGTTGTCATCCATGTCTCTCCTCCCACATTCCAAACCCCCTCTTCCTCCCAAATATAAAGTGTATTTTTTTCTTTGACTTTTTTTTTTTTTTTTTTTTTTTTTGGAGACAGGGCCTTAGTTCTGTCCCAGGTTAGAATGCAGTGAGTTTTGTTTTTGCCACAACTCACTGCAGCCTTGACCTCCCAGGCTCAAGTAATCCTCTTACCTCAGTCTCCCGAGTAGCTAAGACCACACACCACCATGCCTGGCTAATTTTTTATTTTTTGTAGAGACAAGGTATCACTATGTTGCCCAGGCTGGTCTCAAACTCCTGGACACAAGCAATCTGCTCACCTTACCCTCCCAAAATGCTGGGATTATATACCTTTCAATATTTATTTTATCCAATTTTCTTTGTCCTTGCTTTCTGGGACTCCAATTCTATGTATATTAGACTATTTGATATTGTCCCCCTAAATTAATATTTTTATTTTTAATCTTTTTCTTCTCTGTGCCTCTGTTAATTTCTATTCACTTGCCTTTAAATTTTCCAATCACTTTTTCCCTGTGTCCTGTATTCTTAGGAATTTAGTTCACATATCCTCCTCTTCATTGTTCACTGGCTTTAAAAAGCAGACAGACAGATATTTTTCCCTTGGCATGAGTAACAGTCTTTCACAACTGTCTACATTTTAATTGGAAATAGAACGTTGAGTGGTTCTTAAGCTGTCTTATACAAAGAACATGCTAAAAATGTAGTATTTCTGAGAAATACTATCAGACATCAGACAATATCTAGGATATTTTTAAAAATTCCTTAAGTAATTCTGATGCGGGAGTCCCCACACACCCTGAGAGAAACACTAATTTGTTGCTAAAAGCTGAAGTCAAAATAAGTAGTTAGCAGTCAAAAAATGCAAATCAGTTTCAGTTGAGGCCTCAGGAAGACCATCAAAGAAGCTATCAGATTGCTTTATTAAATTCAACTTTCAAAAACTCATAGCCATTATGAAAACCAGTGTGGAGGTTCCTCAAAAAATTAAAAATGTAACTACCATATGATCCAGATTAGTACCTTCACCTATGAGCAGACCTCTGGGTATATGTCCAAAGGAACTGAAATCAGCATCTTGAAGAGATATCTAACCTCTCATGTTCATTGCCACATTATTCACAATAGCCAAGATATGGAATCATCCCAAGTGTCCACTGATGGATGAATAAATAAAGAAAACGTAGTATTGGCACGCAGTGGAATACTATTCAGCCTTTGAAAAGAAGGAAATCCTGTCATCTGTGACAACATGGATTAACCTGGAAGACATTACGCTAAGTAAAATAAGCCAAGCACAGAAAGATAAATACTACACGATCTCATTTATATGTGGAATCTACAAAAGTCAAACTCAGAGGCAGAGAGTAGAATGGTGGTTGCTAGGGGCCGGGGAGTGGTGAGGTGGTAGAGTGGGGGTGGGGAGATGTTAGCCAAAGGGTACAAAGTTTTAATTAGACAGAATAAATAAGTTTTGGAGATTTATTGTATACCATGGTGACTATAGTTAATGATAATGTTTTATATACTTGAAAATTGCTAAGAGAATAGATCTTGAATGTTCCCACCACAAAAAAAAAGATAAGTATATGAAGTGATAGATACGTTATTAGCTTGATCAGTTCACAATGTATATGTAAGAACATCAGGTTGTACACCATAAACATACACAATATTTATTTGTCAATTATACCTTAATAAAGCTGGTGGAGGGACAACTTAATTTAAATAAACTGGTAAATATGGAAACAGGCATGGCCTGTAATTTCCAAAAGCCAGGTCGTTACTCCATTTCATTTGTTCTTGTTTTTATCCTGGGCTGTGGCTCCTCAGTGAGCCAACTAAAGTCATAATTAGACAGTTTTAGGAGACAAGAATGTGTACAGGCAGGCTTGTATAACTCTTTGAAAGATCTCCAAAGAAGAATATGAATGATTGAGGACACCTAGATCTACTATTTACCATTTAATCCTAAGGTTCCATGGCCTGGAACAATTACCAAGAGCTAAAGATGTTGACTTGGATATTATGTGGCTATGAAGAAAGGACTCTAATTTTTTAACAAATATACCAGAAATTACACACTCAAATGAGTGCTGTTCTCTTCAGTAGGCAAAAGGAAATTGAGTATCAACCCTGCCTCATTGGTTTCACTCCCTAGAGAGTTGCATTGGGGATTCTAAGGTAGAAGCTAGCTCAGCAGGAAAGAGTCATCTGTGAGCATGGTCTGCCATGAGCATGGCTAGGGTCCATGGCAACACAAGTGGTACATAATTGCCTTTCCTGGGTTAATGGTAAGAGCCTTGGGTTTGAAGATTTGAGCATAAATTTGGCTCTGCCATCTACTAACCGTGAGGTCTTGTGAAAACACGTTCTCTGAGTCTCAATTTATTTTACCTAATGGCAATTGGTCATAAAAAATTTCCACTTTCTATTTCATAGGTATACATGTGATATCCCCTTTGAAACTTAACAGTGCATTAATAGCAAGTTATTCTTCAAAGAAGTCACTTTGGTAGGCTATGATCTTATTCACAACAATTCAGTCGTTGCACATTTTTTGGGAGTGCATTTATAAACAGTTTGAGCAATTTGGTAGAAGCACTTTTACATGTCCCTGTGATGGCTAATTTTATGTGTCAATTTGGCTATGTTAAGGGATACCCAGAAAATGAAAAAAACGTTATTTCTGGGTGTGTCTAGAAGGGTATTTTCAGAAGATATTAGCATTTGAATCAGTAGACTGAGTAAAGAAGATTACCTCTCACCAGTGTGGGCGGGCATCATCTAATCCATCGAGGTCTCTAACAGGGCAAAAAGGCAGAGGAGGGGCGAATTCTCTCTCTTCTTGAGCTGGATGTCCGTCTTCTCCTGCCCTTGGACATCAGAGCTCCTGGTTCTTGGACTTATATCAGTAGCCCTCTTGGCTCAAACTGGGAGTTACAGCCTGTGGTTCTCAGGCCTTTGGATTTGGACCAAACCGTGGGAACTGGCTCACGATATTATGGAGGCCAGGAAGTCCCACGATATGCCATTTGCAAACTGGAGAACCAGCATCGTAGGACTTCTTGGCTTCCACAGTCTTGTGTGAGCCAATTACCATAGTACATCTCCTCTTAGGTATCCTTAATTATTCTATTTGTTCTGTTTCTCCACGGAATCCTGACTAATACACGGTGGTTTGATAATTCAGCTAGATCACCTACAAATCAATCAGGAACTTTGGATTCAAATGATATCCTTGTTCCCCAAAATCGAATTCACTATTAGTAGATGAAGATTTGTTACCACTGTGTTATTAAAAAGCATAGGCCACAGGCTTTTGAAGATTCTTCCCAAAGATGAATTCCAGAAATGATTTATGCAATTGCAGCCTCATTAGTGTAAGAGTATGGTCTCCCAAGGGAGCTAATGTTGAAGGCCAAAACTCACTTGAATGTGTAACCTTCTGTTAGCTTGTTTAATTAATCCGTCATTTTGCATTAGAATCTCATGGATGTATAGCAGAGTTACTGTGCTTTGAATCAGAATGATGGTCACAGACTGATCCTGCAGTAATCTCTACGGATATAAACAAGGTAGCTGAGATGAACTCTCAGCCTCTGATAGAGAGGGAATTGGAGCTTTCTGGTGCTTACTAATAACATAACAAGAATGTCCTCAGTGATGTATATCTTGTGTAACTCTTTGGAAGATCTCCAATTAATCTCCAAGCAAACAACTATTTGTAACCCCAGAATTATAAAATATAGATTTAATACAGTTGTGAAAATCCTTTCTGTTTGGGCCAGGCAGAGTGGCTCACGCCTGTGAATCACTTTGGGAGGCCAAGGTGGGAGGACTGCTTGAGCCCAGGAGTTCAAGACCAGCCTGGGCAACAGAGTGAGACCCTGTCTCTACAAAAAATTTAAAAATTAGCCAGTTGTGGTAGCACATGCCTGTGGTCCCAGCTGCTTGGGAGGCTGAGATGGAGGATTGCTTAAGCACAGGAGGTTGAAACTGCAGTGAGCCATATTTGCACCACTGCACTCCAGCCACTCCA